TGATTTCCTCACAAGCTTTTCACAAACGTTTTTCTCTTGGATTTCACAAAGAAAACTCTCCAAGATGTCACACAGACTCTCTAAAACGTTTTTACCAGTTGATTATCAGTTTTTACTCAATGTTATGAAGTTTCAAAAGAGTTCAAACTATTTATAAAAATTCAAACCCAGATAATCGATTATTTTAAAGAATAATCGATTATTTTGTTCTTCAGATTTCTGGAAATCAATCAAGAACAATTTAATCGATTATTTAGCTGGATAATCGATTATTCCAGAGAGTTGTTCCTGAAATAATCGATTATTTTGGCAAATAATCGATTATTACAGCAAGGCATTCCACTTAGCCCACTTGCTGAAATAATCGATTATATTTAACAATAATCGATTATTTTGAGTCAGTTCTTAAAACTTCATTTTAAGTCTCAAAATAATTTTCCAATGTTTAACTCATCATCATCTACTCCCTACTTGATTCTAGACAAGATTTGCTCAATGCACAAAGCACACACAGACACAAATATAACAATTCATTTATAACAATTTGCTTCCTAAGCTCTATTACATATCTATACTTCAAGGTATTTTTCTTGACTCTTCCTTGACTTTGTTTTTGTGTTCAATGTTGTTGTTGTACACTTGTTGTCTCCAAGTTGTTGTGATCATCAAAACTCTTAAAGTCTTCAGCTCCCCTAAGCTCAACAAGTATATTATGCATTTGAGTCGACAATAAATTAACCATATCATGATTACTATGGTCTATCTGTTGTTGAAGGACTATCATGGCTTGATTACTAATACCTGTGGGGACATAACTACTCTATTGAACCAGAGATCCCTTTTGACTTGTCCCTATGTGTTGATACGGATCTTGCATGACAAATCCCAATCCATTTGGTCCGGGATTATATCCCTGTGGAGATACATGCATTTGTGAGTTTGGTCCTAAATAGGGTACTGGCATCTCGACGTGTACAGGTTGAGTAGTTCGCCAATTTTGTGGCATACCCCATGGGTAATCTCTAGTGGCATTTGCAAATTCTTGGGATACATTTGTTTGCCTAGCCACATTTTCGAGCACAACAGGAGGTGATATTGCCCCCCTTGTCACAGTAGTCACATTATCCGGGTTTGGATTTCCGTTCTTTACCTCTACTTGATTATCATTGTTCACTTCTCTGCTATTATTAGACGTAGACATGGTTCTTCCACTCCTAAGTCTCATAAAACATATATACCGAAAACTAGTTCACTTATGTATAAAACAGGTCCCACTGGGCGTGCCAATTTGTTTGTGGTGGAATTCGTTTATGAGTCATTTTTATTTGAACTAGCACGAAATTGTTTCAATTTAGGTATTTTACGTTTAAACTTTCTTTAAGAACGGAGATAGACGAGAACAGAGTAACTAGTAAGCGTTCATTTCAAGATTTTCATTAATGATTATCAAGCAATAATTATCATGCATGTAGATACTCAAATAAACAGAATGAACAATACATATATTGGCAATACAAATCATTGTCCACTTCGCATAATCATCAAGTTACAATATCATGATTTTTAGAATAACAAACTATGAACTACGAACTACACTATGGTATTAAACAAAACTAAACTAATCCTAGAAAAAGAAAGAAAATATGGCCAAGAAGTTGTCATATCTAACAATTCCATGCACAGAAGTCATATGCGCAGGCGGTGAGTGCTTATGAGAGTGAAAGTATGATTTTTCCAACCCCTTGTGAAGGGATATGTTTCTCATATTTATAGAGTTAGCCGAGAGCGGTTAATTTTGTATACGTACGTTGTGGGCTCGTAACTGCTATCCACTACCTCCATTTCGTGGCTTAAGCCGAGAACGGTTAATTTTGTATGCGTACGTTGTGGGCTCGTAACAGTTATCCACTATCCCCATTACGTGGCTTAAATGTAACTTTTTATAACCGTTTCATCCCACTTGATTTTTTGTTTCTTCGACTTACTCGTTTAGTAGCCACTCAGGTATAATTGTTCCCACACAGCTCAGGTAACCTCTGTTAACTTCTCGACTTACCCTCGAATACCTATATACATTTGGTCATACTTATCCTTTATTTGTTTATATGGCTTGCGTACTTTCAATTGACTTTTTCGAGTAGATCTCGAGAGAATCTTTTCGAGTAGCCCCAACAGTTATATATTTAATAAAAAAAGTGAAGCATTACCAAATATTTAACATTAAATTAAGGTAAAATACCATTAAAAATTAAGTTCTTATGTAGCAATTTGAAAGTTTAACATGTGATTACTAAAATTGTATTAAATAAATGTTTTCACTAAAATAACAAGATGGAATTGGTGCTAAATACATTAAGTGATAAAATAATTTCATTACTTATAATTTTGTATACTTTTAATTTTATTTGTGACATATAAATCATAAATAAATAACATAATATTATATATTTAATTGATTTTTAAACAATAAATTTTTAAAACCACAAAAGCTTGGTCAAATAAAATAAAAAATTAATTTGATTTAATTCATATTTTATAATACATTCAACTCAAACTACACTTAATTTTTTTATATTTGATTCAAGTGTCAAGTGACGACTTTTAAATAAAACAGAAACAAATTGCGGTGCAAGCATCCAAAGGAGTAGTAGGAATTTGGACTTTAATTAGGTATTCCAACTGTGAGATTAATTAATTTCCTGATCGAAAATGATAGTTTCAATTCGATTTACATCCACCCCGACAAAACATTAATTAAATATAAAGGGGGTTCATAGAGAGTCTCTGAGTGAGTGATTAATGTTTAAATTTTCGTAGCCGCGATTCTCTAATTGAGTGCACGGCCACTAGTTTCAATTAACATTAATAAAGGTTTAATCAAGCTTTTCCCCATTGTCTGATAGAGAAAATATAACAAATGACAAAAAATGCAGAAAAGGAGAGATTCGAATCAGAGTTGATGTGGTTCTTGACAAAGATGGAAGCATTTGTTTTTGACGACTAAAGAGGGTGGTTGAGAGAGATGTAGATGGTGATGGGACCTTGAAAGCTCGCAATATTTGAAATATATAGAACGACACGGAAGTGTACTTTGAAGATTTCCAATGGATGGATTAACTTCGAGTTTGGACATATGCAAATGCAATGGTCGTTTTCTTTGATGTCAATAATAAAGTGGTGGTGTTAATAAAAGCATTAATTTCTCCATTGGTGGGACATTTACCAGAGAATAGCATACAATAATGATCATTAAAATGGACTTCATGCATTGCCACTTACGTCATCACCAGAAATTAATTATCTCTATCGTGTTGGGAGTAGAATGTTTATCATTAATATGACAAGTCTAATAGAGGATTGCTAGAGAACAATTCTACACTAGGTTAATGCTAAGAAGATACCCATTCCTTGCTTCAAAATAGTCCATACAATCACAATAAAAAGAAACTTTAAGGACTCTGGTTCCTACACGTGTAGGGCCTTGATTCTAAGTTAAGAAAACAAAAACAATGACTGAAACTAAATGTTGGACTCCAACTTAAACTATTGGCCTTTTAAGGCCCAATTCCTTAAAACGTGTAATCTTTGAATTTGCAAGGCCTTGTGGTTACTCTTTTGGGCCTCCCACCTGTATCAATACCGACCCGATCACCTTTGACATTGTCCTCAATGTCATTGGGCATGGAGATGAAGTCACGGATCGAGGCTGAGGTGGACTCATGCGATGCATTTGTGTTTTGTGTGGATGGCTGGGATGCAGAGGTGGAAAGTGGAGCGTTGGCATTAAGTGAGTCTTTAATGACATGGGCACGTGTTGGGGCAAGCGAAGCGGTGCCCACTTCACCAAAACACGCAACATCATTGCTATGCGTAAGATGTGGGACTTCTTCTGAGGGTGTGCGAGAGGAGAACTCCAAGGGTGTAGCTGGACGAAGTTGATCCGGAGGTGGTGGAAGCGGACAGAAATGATGGACGGGATCAACACCTTTGTATGGTCGGAGTAAGGAGACATGAAACACCGGGTGAATACGAGCGGTTTCGGGAAACAGCAATTCATAGGCCACCAAGCCAATGCGACGGTGAATGCGGAAGGGCCCATAGTATCGCTTGGCGAGTTTCTGCGACGTTCGGCGCAACAACGACGTTTGCCGGTACGGTTGAAGCTTGAGCAAGACCCAATCCCCTGACTGAAAGGTAATGTCACGACGGTGTTGATCGGCGAAAAGTTTTATTCGCTGTCGTGCTCGAGAGAGGTGTAGTTTGACCTCTTGTAAAATTTCTCGATGTTCTTGCAGGAGGAGCTGAACAGTTGTGGAAGAAGGACCTCGTAGAACATCCACCGGGGTAGGCGGGGAGCGGCCATACAAGGCGTGAAAAGGGGTGGTGCCGATGCTGGTGTGAAACGTTGTGTTGTGCTAGTATTTGGCGAGATGAAGGTACTGATACCAGGCACGGGGGTGATCACTCACAAAACAACGGAGATAAGCCTCCAAACAGCGATTCAAAACCTCGGATTGACCGTCCGATTGGGGTGATATGTTAAGCTAAAGGCCAACGTGGTTCCTTGAGCACGAAAGAGTTCGCGCCAAAAAGAACTAACAAACAGGGGGTCCCGATCCGAGACAATGGATTTCGGGTAGCCATGAATTTTGAAAATTTCCATCATAAACCGGCGAGCTAGTTGAGGGGCGGTGAACTTGGCTGGAAGGGCAAGAAAATGAGCGAACTTGGTTAAGCGGTCACAAATAACCCAGATGGTAGAATGCCCAAAAGATGTAGGTAAGTGAGTGATAAAGTCCATTGAAATGTCTTCCCAGACTCTGTTGGCTTGCTTGAGGGGTTGTAATAAACCAAATTTTTTTGTGGGTAGGTACTTATTGTGTTGACATTCAGGGCACTCACGGATGAACTTGCGAGCATTAGAGTAAAGGCTGGGCCAATAAAAAGCGGAAGCAAGACGACAGACCGTGGGTTTCAATCCAGAATGACCGGCAACCGGGGTGCAATGGAATTCCTTGAGGAGCGGGAGGTGAAAGTCTTGAATGTCAGGAACAAAGAGTCGTGATTTAAAATACAACAGCCCATTGTGGAAGGTAAACACTTCTTGTCCCGGATTTTGTTGTAGCAATTTGGTAACTAACGTCTGACCATCCGTCTTGAAATATTCGTGCCAAGGTTGAATAAATGTAGGAACGGGTAAGGAAATGTGAAATAAGATGGGTGGAGCTGGTTCCGGTCGTGACAATGAATCAGCCACAATGTTCTGTTTGCCTGGCCTGTAGAGGATATCAAAATGGTAGCCCAAGAACTTAATGGCCCATTTCTACTGCTCTGGTGTGTGCACTGCTTGGGTAAGTAGATTCTTCAAACTTTTTTGATCTGTAATGATTTGGAAATAGTGACCAATCAGATATTGACGCCATTTCTTTATGGCTTCTGTGATAGCAAACATTTCGCGCACATAGACGGACGCAGCTTGGAGTTTTGGGCAAAGGCGCTTGCTGAAAAAGGCTATGGGATGACCATGCTGGGATAAAACGGCCCCAATTGCAGTGCCCGAAGCATCGGTGTTAATAACGAAAGGAACGGTGAAGTCGGGAAGAGCCAAAACAGGGACTGTTGTAATTTTATTTTTTAAGTCTGTGAATGCTTGTTGGGCTTGAGGACTCCATTGAAATGAAGGAGAACGTAACAAATCGGTGAGGGGAGTGGCGAGAGACGCGTAGTTACGCACGAATTTGCGGTAAAACCCCGTTAGGCCTAAGAACCCACGTAGAGTCGTGAATGATCGCGGAGGGGGCCAGGCCACAATAGCTTGAATCTTCTCTGGGTCAGGTAGAACGCCCTTGCCTGAAATGATGTGGCCCAAATAGGCCACCGATTGCATTGCAAAAACACACTTGGAAAATTTGGCATAAAACTGGTTAGACAATAGGAGCTGCAGAATAGAAGTCAAGTGGGACAAGTGATCTTGAAATGAATTACTATAGACCAGTATATCATCAAAAAACACAAGCACACATTTTCTTAAAAATGGTCTTAGTAATTCATGCATGGTCGCTTGAAATGTAGAAGGAGCATTAGATAAACCGAAGGGCATCACTAAAAATTCATAATGACCATCAAACGTGCGAAAAGCAGTTTTGTAAGTATCGGAAGAATTTACTCTAATTTGATGATAACCGGAACGTAAATCAATCTTAGAAAAAACCTGAGCAGAACCTAGTTCGTCTAGCAATTCCTCAATTGTTGGCATAGGGAAACGGTCACGAATGGTTATGGCATTAAGGGCCCAGTAATCCACACAAAAGCGCCAAGTACCATCCTTCTTGTTAACTAGTAAAACTGGTGACGAAAATGGACTAGAACTAGGCTTAATAATTCCATCAGTTAACATTTCTGTAATGAGGGTGGTCATAATAGTCTTTTGGGAATGAGGGTATCGGTAAGGCTTAATATTAGCTGGGTGGAATTTGGCATGAGGGGGATATGGTGATCTTGGGGACGATGTGGAGGAAGGCCTTTAGGTTTCTGAAAAACTTCTTGGAAGTTGGTTAAGAGGTTTCGAATCTCAGTGGGGTAAGAAACAGGTATGGAATCAGAGAAGGGTAAATGTGAGGGAGATTCAGGATGTGAAACTTGTAGTAGGTGAAGGGAAGCCACGGAATCTTGGTGAACATAGTGGCACAATTGGTGAAAAGATGAAAATGTAGGGGAGTCCAAGTCACCTGTGAGAGTCACCAAAGTATCCTGATGTTGAAAAGTAAGTGTAGGCACCGAAAAGTCTGCTTGAATGGGACCTAACGTGCGAAGCCAGGCAACCCCTAGAACCACATCAGCACCTTCAATAGGAATGACATAAAGCGGAACACATAGGGTAGCCTTTTGAAGAGTAATAGGCACATTAGAGCACACTTGATCACAAGTAATAGAGCCACCATTGCCTACCATAACTTTGAACGGGGAAGTGGGTGTCGTAACCAACCGTAAATGACGAGCTAAACGGGGTTGGATGATATTGTGAGTGCTACCCGAGTCAATGATCATGATCGAACACCCATTAATATAGCCTTTAAATCGCAGGGTTTGGGGTGAAGGAATACCAGTGAGGGCTTGAGATGAGAGTTGAAAGTGAACAGCTGGGTTGGGCTCGTAATCTGCCAAATACCGCATCTGTGGCTGTGAACTCCAACTCAAAATCATCATGAGAAAGTAACAACAAGAATTTGGGGGTGGCACAGTTATGGCCCGGGTGGAACTTTTCATCACAATTATAACAGAGGCCCGCGGCCCGACGTTCTTGTAATTGTTGGTATGACAGCCTTTTAACGGGTATGGATTGGGGTTCCTTTGTAGTGGTTGGTTTAGGGACAGGGTTGGCGGATTTAGTTGGTGTGGATGTCTGGTATTGAAAGGAGGAAGAGGAACGGGTGAATTTAGGTTTGGTATCCTTTAATTTGGCCTCAATTAGTTTAGCAAGCCCAATGGCCTGAGATATCGTTTGGGGTTGAAATAAGGCAATTTCATTTTGAATTTCTGGAAGTAACCCTGAAATAAAACAATTCTTAAGAACTTCAGGTGGTATACCAAAAACTCGATTGCTCAGTTTCTCAAAATTAACTTGAAAATCAGCAACGGAACCTGTTTGACGTAACTTCAGTAATTCCCCCTGATGATTCTTATATGATGAAGGGTCAAAACGAATTTCTAATGCACGAGCAAATGAAGTCCAATCCCCTAATTGGTTGTTGTGAAACATCCATTTAAACCAGCTCAAGGCATCACCCTGCATATAAAAAGCCGCAATAGGAACCCGTTGATCCCATGGTACCTGATAAAACATAAAGTATTGGTCAGCCTGAAAAAGCCAATCTAAAGGGGCTGATCCATCAAAAGGTAGCAGATTTAGTTTAGGGGGTCTGATTTGGGAGTTAGGAATTGCATTCAAAGGTGGGGTTGGTGGGGCCATGGTTGAAGAGAGGGGGGGTATGACGGAAGAAGACAAAAGAGGTAAGGACGGGGGCACTGTGGTAGAAATGGGAAAACTTGAGTGACCATAACCAAAAGAGGGTGGGCCTGCGGTGAATATGGGGGGTGGTCTAGGGAAGGAAGGGTCACCAGGCGGAAAAAATGGGAGGGACATATTGGGAAAAGGAGGGGGAAAATTGTGGGACCCAAAAGTGGTGTCGTTAGTGGGTAAGGAAGAAACAGGAAAGGGGGGCCGGAGGACGAGCTAGGGTTGCTAAAATGGGTCCGTAGGGTATCCATGATAGTGGACAAGGAGTCTTGGTTTTGGGAAATGGCAGCCTGCATTGTGGAATATTGAGACTCAAACGATGCCACCTGGGAGTCAAATTGGGATTGGAGGTCTTGGAATTTTGTGGAGAGATGGGTAATGGGGTCATCTTCTTTCTAAGAACGAGGAGGCATGAGGAAAATGAAAGCACCAAATAATAGAGGATTTCTAGAGAACAATTCTACACTAGGTTAATGCTAAGAAGATACTCATTCCTTGCTTCAAAATAGTCCATACAATCACAATAAAAAGAAACTTTAAGGACTCTGGTTCCTACACGTGTAGGGCCTTGATTCTAAGTTAAGAAAACAAAAACAATGACTGAAACTAAATGTTGGACTCCAACTTAAACTATTGGCCTTTTAAGGCCCAATTCCTTAAAACGTGTAATCTTTAAATTTGCAAGGCCTTGTGGTTACTCTTTTGGGCCTCCCACCTGTATCAAAGTCCCTTTAGGATGTGGTAAACCACAATGTAAATCTTTGTGAAAAAGAGTTTATTTTGATTGTGCCTCAAATGTAATTACACATGAAAAGGATGCATGCGAGAAATAAAAAGCAAGTTAATCAAATTGCATTATTTATTTATACCCTTTAACAATATGGTTCAATTTAATTAAATTTAAAATTAATATTACTTTTAATTATTAGAGATTTCACATTTACTAGTAATATAATCAAAATAAACTATATAAGTGAGGGACAATCCTTAACTTATAAGTTATTTTTTAAGGCTGAATTAGATCCGAATTCATTTTCTTATAATATGAAATTACAGTTTATCTTATGTGTCTTATCAAACAACTTATAAATGTTTAGTCTCGTAAAATGTATGTTCGAAATGTCTAATATTTGACTTGAGTGAATGTGTTGGAGATCCCATAATAATGACTAATGACATGACTAAAATAAAGTATACAAGTGGAGAATAATTCTCACATTATAAACCGATTTTATAAGATTGGGATATTCCAAAATCCATTTTTTCAAGAGCTATTAAAAATGTGCATATATTTAGTTTAACTTATTTTAAAAATAATTACTTATTGTTCTCCCTAGAGAATTGTTAAGATATTAGGTTAATCATATCTTAACTAATCATATCATATCATATATTGTAAATCCTCATTTTTTTTTAATTATAAATAAGAGTTATGTGTACTCAAAATTAACATACAATTCCTAAATCATAACAAGAATAAACTCATTGGATAGTCCTAAAGTTTTTTAAGATCTCAAGAAACCTTAACAAGTTATACATAACATGACTAAAGATGACCTAGATGGTACTAATGATAGTGTGTTCTCCATTAGTGGTTCCTAAGATCTTGCATTGAATAGTGATATGACTAAAATAAAGTATATAAATGGATAACAATTATTACCTTTTATAAGTTAGTTTTGTAAAATTGAATTAGATTCAAATCTACTTTCATAAGAACAACTAAAATTGTGCATATTTTAAAAAAATATTTCATATATTTTCTTAGTGGGTGACTTGAATGATGCCTCTCTCTTATGTATAAGGAGAAGGTGGTATTGATGAGGGCCTGATGTCCATAGGCTTTAAAAATCCTAAGACTATGGTGATAAAATAAGTTAGTTATATCAGTCAATCTATAGACAATAATTTATTACAATTCAAATGTTATTAAATACTAAATTTGTTGGAGACTTTCTTATTGGTTGGAAGATCCACACCCCTTAAGGGTTAAACCTGAAAGACATATTAGGGGTGTTTATTGTTGTCTATGTATGTTGAGAGCATGCACTAATCTAAACTCCTGAGGCATGTAATGAACTATCTTAAAAGGTTTATCCATAAACTCCCACCTAAGTTCCTCAGGATATAATAGGATCTTCTCAATACTAGACTGAGTATGCATAACTATCAAGTTCTTGATCCAGAAAATGAGAGAACATTGAGAAAGAGATAACAAAGTCATGCTCTGACATCTAACTCTTACCGATTCTCAATATTTATAAAAGGGGATATATACCATGTGCTTATAACTAATCACGAGAATTAAAAAAGAATTAATTTTAAAATATTTGATCATTTAAATTTAATTAAAACTACAACAATCATACTATTATATCTCACTAAAATCAATATTCATTACACTTTAAAACCTGTAATTAATAAAATAATAATTTTAATTTTAATTCAAAATAATTTTGTGAATAAATTAATCTTTTAAAATATCTCAAAATATAACAATTTCCCATGTATTTCAAAAGGTTTAAAATGGAATTATGGGTTCTTATATATGATGTAATGCATTGAACCTAGTGTAACAAGTTGTTAAACCAGACCTAAATTGATAAAACTTAACACAAAGTATAGTGAGTATAGTAAGTCATTGAAGCCAAAACACTTGGTGTGTATCAAAGGTAAACCAATC